TTAAAGCTCAGTGATTGATACCAATAAGCTATTCGGATCACCAAATAGTAGTGATTGTACAAAGAGTATTAAGAGAGCTTTCAATTGAACAAACGAATGACGAATCCAAAGTTAAATCTGACTCGAAAATAAATTGAATTATTGTCGTCCATTGACACTTCTGCCCCCGTTCTCGAATGCAGAGTCAAATTTTCATAATGACTCTCATTACGTGTTGACAGATGGCGAATTAATTATTTAATTAAGTGACCGCCTCTCGCTGTACCAGTGACGACGTATCCTGATAACAGCAATACGTCTATCACAATCTATAATATCGAGTGAATCATCGATGTCCATTATCATTAAATAAGTGAGTACGTCAGTAATACGGAGCACAGCGATGACCGATCCGATGAGCGCGTATCTCCGGTCGGCCTGGCGCTGGCTAATTTCACTGATTCTCTTCTGCATTTCAATTCTCAATTCTCAATTCTCAATTCTCAATTCGAAATGATGCATTTGGTAGCTGAATCTGAATGCGAATGATCCAGTTCTATTGGCCTTATCATTCCTACGGAACCGGCGAATGTCTATCATTGAACTTCGTAAAGTGGAAATGGAAATGGGAATAAAATTAGACTAATGGACGACCCGAGTGTTATAACTACACGTACGGCTTTGATCGGTGCTTCGCTTCTATCTGCTTTTATCCACAATCGGCGAAAACATCGATACAACAAAATTAGCGGTTCAATGTTATTTTTCAGTCTTTATGTGTTTTCAAGTAGGTTAGGAAACTATAGCCTTTCCTTGAGCACCCCCCTAGCAGCTTAATCGTTCCAAAATACTTTGTGCGATTACAGTGCTGCTCTATTCTATACTGGTACACACACTGACTATGCTATTTTCTTTTTTCACAAAGACACACAAAATGGATTATTCTCGGAAGTAGGTTCGAAGGCAATTCCGCATCTTTTACTAAGAATTTCGCATTAAGAGACAACTTTCAACTGCGAATTCAGTTATGTCCCAGTACCGACGAATCTTCGTTCGAGTTATGCCTGAATATTTCATTGGCCATTTGGCGAATTACCTTTAAATTTTAAGGTCAGACATCGCTTGTGCAAATATTCATTCTGCAGAAGTAAATGAGCTCGATAGTGATTGTGCTCGTTATTCGCGCGGTTGCCATTTATGTCGCGGCGCTTCTCTCCCGGGGAAGGAGAATCGTCGAGGATGAATCTTGAAATGCTGGACAGTCCTCGGGTTCGCTCCAAGTTTATTAAAGAAGCATTGCCCTGCTATGCACCGAATCGCACCGCTTAAGAAGAAATGAAAATATCTCAGGCAGACACGCATCGGTCGAGTAGAATGGGATCCATAGGGATCATTCTTGAGATTACGTTGCTTGCACTATCCTATTTCGCGAGTCTCCCGCGACAGCCGAGTACTCTTCAAAACTGCAGGTATTCTTTGTAAATCTTATGTATGAGTTCTCTTTGAAATTTCAGTGGAGCATTTCAAGTACAGTCGGCCCACGCGTTCGATGTTTCCTTTTGACAGATCGAAGCAATCGAGTCTCTCAGCAAGACACGCTTTGTTCTGTGTACAATTTTCCCTACAAACTATCCATGTATATGATTTTGCACGGAATTCTATTCTGTTTCTGTACTTTAGCATATATTTCCGTCATTTCTTGAAAAACCACGTGCGCATTCTTTGCGAATTGTCAAATGAAAAAACACATTGAACTCGTGACACCGACTATACACATACGTAAGATGCACGCACGAGCTGTGGCTGCTCATTCGAAATGCGCCAAACGCGCGCATGCGCGAGCGCTCAGCTGTGCGGTTGCACTTTTCTGTATCTCCTGTATCTCCTGCATCTCCTGCATACGGTTAAAGTGCAGTCGTCTAAAAGAGTTTACGGGGCAAATTTATAGCGCAGACGTTTAAACTGACTTTATACGATGTCGACGTTGTTCGCTGGATACGTTCGCGACGGCGACGCTGGAGCGGCGGCCGTCCCGGCGCATTTGCTTTCACCACCGATGATTAAGTAATGAGGAGTAGACTTCTTGAGTCTCGCTTCATCCTTCCATCCCCTCCTGGAAGCCCCTTAAGCATCCCCTAACTCCGCACACTTTTGTTCTTTCCCTAAACTCATCCTTTCCACCAGCCCGTTACAACCTCCAACCTTTCACCCCCCCTCCCTCCTTCTCCCCTACCGACTCATCTTCTCACTCGCAGCTCCGTTCCCTTCCTCGCATCCTCGCATCCTCATTGACTGACTCTCACTTCCTCACGTCTTATTCACCCTCCTTTGTTGACTGTCCTTATGGGAGGCGCCGCGACACGACCCTCGTGGAAGAAAAGCTTCATTCAAGGGAGACGCGAAAATAATAATACGGACGAGTGAAACAACGGAATCCATCATGAAGATTCTGCCGGCGAATATCCATTTTATTAAGGCGCCTGGAATGTTTAACGATCGATTTATCGAGGAACTTCCTTTCCGTCATGTTGCGCGTAAACAGAAAATATTATTTGATTAGCATAAACGGAATTACATCTAACCGATGGAGTTTATTAATTCAATAAAAATACTTTAAATACTTTTTAAAAGAAAAAACTGTAGATGAGAAAAAAGTTGAGGTGAATTATATAGCCAGACGTGTATAAGAGTATTTAGGAAAATGTTGATGGACCTTCGGGGCGGTTTGCGGGGAGGGGTGGTATGGCGGGCGGTTGGGAAAGGCTTAACGCGGACCGAGGAGTTGCACGAGGACATTCCATTGTTGTGCAGTGGGCAATAGCGCACTGAGAACCGCGACAGTTGCGCGTAATGCCGGGATCCACGTAGAGACAGGAAAGTGGAAGAAAAGTCTTTTCCGAGTTAACGAGGAAAAAAAAGTGGATTATAAGTTTGACGCGGGGTTATTTTGTCCCGGCTTTATTGAAAAAATTTGATTACAAGGTAAATGAAAAAGTAACGAAAAGAAAAATATATTTGAATACTCGTACACACGCAAGAATGCAATATCACCGCTGACGCAGATAAAAAAAAAAGAATAATAAAATATTTTATTGTGTCGTCGGAACGAGTCCTACAGCCACATACTGGAATACTGGAATACTGGAATACTGGAATACTGGAATGCTGGAGTCGATGGAGGAAAATCTGAACCTCCTAGCAGCAGAGCTGATCTGTACAGAGAGGGGAAGAGTCTGGAAACCGCAGCGTTTTGAGTACAGCATCACATTCGATTACATAGACTCTCCGAGGGCTTCGTATCGCGTGGACCAGAATCCGGAGATCCGTAGCAGGGAGCGTGGATGCGAGATTTTTAGAGAAATTTCCCTGCAAACCGTCGCTCAATCACTGCGAGCGCAAAACAGCTGTCAAACCAGCATGGCTGGTGAACTCGAGTCGAATCGGCCACTGTGTAGAGCGTATGGTGAAGACCGGTGCTGTGGTGAAAGGGATCGAGATGCTGGAACTCGAGAAGGAGCAGTTCTTGCAACGCGAAAGGAGAGCAGGCCGCTCAGCTCCGACCTAACGGGAGTGCTCCGTAAATTATTGTTTTTCACGTCCTATCCGCATCTCCGCAGGATGTAGATACCGTTTGGTCAAGTAAATTGTTCAAGCGTGAGTAAATAAATTATGAAAGTCCTGCAGGAAGCAAAGCCACTCGCCTCCTGTTGCCTTCTACAATAAAATCAAAATGAGACGTAGTAAAGGTAGAGAGAGAGAGAGAGAGAGAGAGAGAGAGAGAGAGAGAGAGAGAGAGAGAGAGAGAGAGAGGGGGGGGG